TAATAATATAAGCCTTGATTTGCCTAAAATATTTTTTATTTTTATAAGCGTTTATTTTCCAAGTAATCTGATGGAGGAAAACTCATTATGACCAAGCTACAACATGTTTAAATGTTAAATATTCATGTTTAAATGTTATATACTCATGTTTAAATGTTAAATACTCATGTTTAAATATTATATACTCATGTTTAAATGTTATATACTCATGTTTAAATGTTAAATATTCATGTTTAAATGTTAAATACTCATGTTTAAATGTTAACTACTCATGTTTAAATGTTAACTACTCATGTTTAAATGTTAAATACTCATGTTGAAATGTTAGAAAACAGAGAGCAGCTGCAGCCTCCTGCCTCACTGTGACAGGACCAGGCAGAGTGCAGGGGTCTGCAGGCAGAGTGCAGGGGTCTGCAGGCAGAGTGCAGGCAGAGTGCAGGCAGAGTGCAGGGGTCTGCTGGCTTTAGGAGGTCTAAGACACACTCTGTGAGTGAGCTGAGCTGACACACCTACACTTACACATCTTTAAACATGCAGCTCTCAACACTTTAATGTTTCACACTGTTGGTGTGGAAACCTTAGTTTAACCAAAGAAGAAACACCTTCAGGTGCTTCTGTTAGGACATCATGTCTCTGCTCACAGCTCTGCTCTGATTGGATAAGACTGTGACTCTGCTTCTCCTGATTGGTTTACAGCAGTGTCAGTCAAATCCAGCTGATAGAGGTGCACCAACACTCTTCCTCCTCCTCAGGAACCACAGCAGACCTGTCCTGTCTGACAGAACCTCAGAACCTGACCTCTGTCTTCAACACTGACATGATTCATCACTTCAAGACTTTTAAAGACCTTCATCTACAAACACAAGGCTTTTCAAGGCTTTTCAAGGACCTGCAGTGTCTCCTCTACCTGCTGTTCCTCTGTTTCCCAGGAAACCCTCCTCCTCCTCCTCTGAAGCCATCGTAGCCCCCCCGCCCTGCTCCAAACTGTCCAGGTGGGATGTGAGGTCCAACACCTGAAACACAAACAGGAAGTTCTGAGACAACTGTCTGTCACCTGTCTACTGACTCACCTGTCTACTGACTCACCTGTCCACTGACTCACCTGTCTGACTCACCTGTCTGACTCACCTGTCCACTGACTCACCTGTCTACTGACTCACCTGTCCACTGACTCACCTGTCTGACTCACCTGTCCACTGACTCACCTGTCTACTGACTCACCTGTCTACTGACTCACCTGTCTGACTCACCTGTCCACTGACTCACCTGTCTACTGACTCACCTGTCCACTGACTCACCTGTCTGACTCACCTGTCCACTGACTCACCTGTCTACTGACTCACCTGTCTGACTCACCTGTCTACTGACTCACCTGTCCACTGACTCACCTGTCCACTGACTCACCTGTCTACTGACTCACCTGTCTGACTCACCTGTCCACTGACTGTCACCTGTCCACTGACTCACCTGTCTGACTCACCTGTCCACTGACTCTCACCTGTCTGACTCACCTGTCCACTGACTCTCACCTGTCTGACTCACCTGCCTGACTCACCTGGGAAAGCGTGCATGGGAGGTCTGATCCCTGGAGGATATCCCAGAAGGCTTTGCTGCTGTGGCAACTGAGCAGGAAATGATGTCATACCAGGAGGCGTGGCTGAAAGACAGACAGAGTTGGTGACCTTTGACCCCGCCCCCTCTGGTGTTTGACCATCAGGATGTTACCTTGTGCTGGAGGTGGGAGGGGCTTGTTCTCAGGTAGGCTGGGTCTCTTGGCGTCCAACAGGAAGTTGTTGAAAAACTCCACTTCCTGTCTGACTGTGGTGACCTTCTCAGCGTGTTTGTTAAGGATGTGTTTACGCACGAACTCTGGAGCCTGAAGGACAACCACATACCTGGTTACCACGGCAACCACGTCAGAGCTGACGCACGGCGCGGGAGGGGGAGGAGCTAAACTCACCTTGAACTTCTTCCCACTCAGAGGACAGAGCCACTTGTCTTTACTGAGCTCCTGAGTGTTGGCCAACAGGAACTTCTCTACCTGCAGACAGGAAGAGGGAGGAGCTTCAGACAGACAGGTAGGTGAGAGAGGGAGGAGCTTCAGAAGACAAGTAGGTGAGAGGGAGGAGCTTCAGACAGACAGGTGGTGGTGGTGGGGGTTCACAGACAGGTGCGAGAGGGAGGAGCTTCAAACAGACAGGTGAGGGGGGGCTTCAGACAGGTAGGTGAGAGAGGGAGGAGCTTCACAGAGAGGTGAGATAGGGAGGGGGCTTGAGACAGACAGGTGAGAGAGGGAGGGGCTACACAGACAGTTGAGAGAGGGAGGAGCTTCAGATCACAGGTAGGTGAGAGGGAGGAGCTTCAGATCACAGGTAGGTGAGAGGGAGGAGCTTCAGATCACAGGTAGGTGAGAGGGAGGAGCTTCCGACAGACAGGAGAGAGAGGGAGGAGCTTCACAGAGAGGTGAGAGAGGGAGGGGGCTTTCAGACAGACAGGTGAGAGAGGGAGGGGCTACACAGACAGTTGAGAGAGGGAGGAGCTTCAGATGACAGGTAGGTGAGAGGGAGGAGCTTCAGAAGACAAGTAGGTGAGAGGGAGGGGCTTCACAGACAGGTGAGAGAGGGAGGGGCTTCACAGACAGGTGAGAGAGGGAGGGGGCTTGAGACAGACAGGTGAGAGAGGGAGGGGCCTCACAGACAGGTGAGAGAGGGAGGAGCTTCAGAAAACAGGTAGGAGAGGGAGGAGCTTCAGATGACAGGTAGGTGAGAGAGGGAGGAGCTTCAGAAGACAAGTAGGTGAGAGGGAGGAGCTTCAGACAGACGTGAGAGAGGGAGGGGTTTCACAGACAGGTGAGAGAGGGAGGAGCTTCAGACAGACAGGTGAGAGTGGGAGGGGCTTCAGACAGAGGTGAGAGAGGGAGGGGATTCAGACAGATAGGTGAGAGAGGAAGGAGCTTCAGACAGACAGGTGAGAGAGGGAGGAGCTTCAGACAGACAGGTGAGAGAGGGAGGAGCTTCAGACAGACAGGTGAGAGAGGGAGGAGCTTCAGATGACAGGTGAGAGAGGGAGGAGCTTCAGATGACAGGTGAGAGAGGGAGGAGCTTCAGACAGACAGGTGAGAGAGGGAGGAGCTTCAGATGACAGGTGAGAGAGGGAGGGGCTTCACAGACAGGTGAGAGAGGGAGGAGCTTCAGATGACAGGTGAGAGAGGGAGGAGCTTCAGATAGACAGGTGAGAGAGGGAGGAGCTTCAGATGACAGGTGAGAGAGGGAGGAGCCTCAAACAGACAGATGAAAGTGGGTGGAGCTTCACAGACAGACAGATGAAAGTGGGTGGAGCTTCACAGACAGAGAGATGAAAGTGGGTGGAGCTTCACAGACAGACAGATGAAAGTGGGTGGAGCTTCACAGACAGACAGGTACACAGACCTCCTGTTCGGGGTCTTTCTTCCCGAGGCGAACAGCTTCTTCTTCACTCAGTTTCTCTGACGGTGACAGAAGAGGAGCCAGACGTTCCTCACACATCCTCAGGTGTTCACTCACTGACCAATCAGAGCACAGACAGCCTGAGTCTCACCTGTCCTCACCAGCCACAGTGAATATGTGTGAGTGTGTGTGTGTGTGTGTGTGTGTGTGTGTGTGTGTGTGTGTGTGTGTGTGTGTGTGT